AAATGAGGGCGCACTTCATTAACTGGAGTCCACAAAACGAGTTAATCCGAAAACACTGGGCAAAAAAAAATATCATGTTCCAACTCATTGTTGCTTCAAAAGTTATCGCTACCCCAGAAATTAATTCACAAAGAAAATTTGGCCCTAGATTCTTAGTTTTTAAAAAAGTGCAAGGATACAACTTTAGTTTCAGGTGTGAAATATGTGGACATAGAGCTAATAACATGACATGACAGGCAAAACACTAATGAGAAAATAAACTAAAAAAAGAATATATATATATATATATGATTCTAACCACCATTCAAATTTGATTACATACATATCAAGTAAATATTATAATTTAAATTTCATCCATATGCAAATTTACCCCATCTAAGTAAAGAATTCATAACAAAAATAGAACAGACTTTTGAAAAGAAGTATATCATACTGTAAATACTTTATTTTTGCTTTGAATTTATTATCACTATTTTCACTGAAGGGGTGATCGAGTAAAAAAAAAAGTGAATAAACCTTTTTTTCTATATTTTAAATTTGATTCATCAAAAATTCAGGGAAAATAAATTTAAAATAAAAAGACGCAAAAAGTCTTTTCAGGAAAAATTAATTGCAGCTAAAGTATTTTACAGTACAATAAAATAGTTCTACTAATTTTACCTTGTTCATCTTCTGCAATAATGGATGTGCAGAGTGTGAAATTTCATAAAATACATTGTACAACACGACTTCACCTGAAGGAAGGAAACAGTGTTATTACGCCACAATGATATTTCTCATAATACCTATAATCTACTGTACAGCGAATTTGGCAATGACAGATGATGATTTGGCAATGACAGATGATGATTTGGCAATGACAGGTGATGATTTGGCAATGACAGGTGATGATTTGGCAATGACAGGTGATGATTTGGCAATGACAGGTGATGATTTGGCAATGACAGATGATGATTTGGCAGTGACAGATGATGATTTGGCAATGACAGATGATGATTTGGCAATGACAGATGATGATTTGGCAATGACAGATGATGATTTGGCAATGACAGATGATGATTTGGCAATGACAGATGATGATTTGGCAATGACAGATGATGATTTGGCAATGACAGATGATGATTTGGCAATGACAGATGATGATTTGGCAATGACAGATGATGATTTGGCAATGACAGATGATGATTTGGCAATGACAGATGATGATTTGGCAATGACAGATGATGATTTGGCAATGACAGATGATGATTTGGCAATGACAGATGATGATTTGGCAATGACAGGGTATGTTACATTGCCAGGTAGTACTTTGACAAGGGTTAAGAAGAAAGTAAGGGACAACATCAAAAGTTCAATGTCGGATAAAAAACTTAATTCCTTTAGTTTTTTCTCAAACCCCCCTACCCCCCACTGAAACTTAATTGATAAATATTGACCATGGCGTCAGACTACATTCACAATTAAATACAAATTGATAATCCGACAGTAGTATGGCGTAGCAGTTGGTTGTCGGATGGGTGTAAACAGACTTTACACTCGAACCAAACTATTTTCTCGTCTTGAATGTTTGTTTTTTTCCATTTTCTGTTATTTTTGTCCATGACTGGATAGAGAGAAAAAAAACGAATTACAATACTGCAAGATTTTTAGACTTCATTAAAAAATAAAATCGTTTTTGTAGGATAGAAACTTT